AAAAAAGGAAAAAAAAGTGAAGAAGAAAAGTGCAAAAGTCCTCCCCGACTACATTTCCTAACTTCATGGTAGGATTAAGGAATGAGGCCCGGCTTAAGCGTCCGTTGATCAACGCTAACTGTTGGATAGGAGGATAACGTTTTCATCTGTGCTGCCTTCAAGTAATAGAGTGGGAAGCAAAGTAGTGTCACTTGCACAATGTTCTTATTTTTTCAGAGAGCTGGCATCCATTCTGAACCGCGACGAGCTCTTTCATGCAGATCGATACCTTTACGTTGTCGATCGAGCACAACGAAAGCATTTCGAAGCTCTGAAAATGATTTTGAGAAGGATTGGGAAAGAGTCTCTCGCAGAAAAGGTTGAGCACGTGCCCTATGGACGAGTGAAAGGGTTGTCAACAAGGTAATACCATGCTTAAAGAAGCTAATAAACTTCTAAGCGTGCTACACGTTCAGGCTTCATTTCGAATCAGAGATTTTTTGAATGTACTTTTCGCCAGTGTGTTGCAAGGTTCGCTTATTTGATTTTCACATCTGAAATACAGTAGCGCTCAAAAGTCTTCGGTGAAATGTTCTGACGCTTTTTGTTCATAATTTTTTTTTAGCAGACCAAATCGCGCTAGTAGACCAAATCGCGCGAAGTTTGGATATGTTTAACTAGAGCATATTTAACCCTACCCAACACTATTTGACTGCAAAGCTGCAATATCCTCAGATAGAGCAAGGTGTTTGTTGCGGTATCAGATTTACTAAAAGTAAAGTTGTTGACGTCTGCACTTATTTACACCTTATGTGCATTTTCTCACCTATTGTGTTCGGCATTACCGCTCGTACACTTTAGACATGACAAAAAGGAAAGAGATTCCAGAAGGACCATCATCTGTATTTTCAGTTGATTCTGAGTTCAAGCTCTTTGGGATATCTGGAATATGGTCAGATTGCAGGTCAATAGTGGTAAATATTCACAATAGATCCACGCTCCAAATATAGAAATTTCGCATGATTAGATTCAGTAGAAAAGGAGTTACGACTGAAAAGTACGGCAGAAGAAGCATTCCACCGAAGACTTTTGAGCGCTACTGTAGCTTGACGCAGTGAGAAAGGTGATACCGGACGGTCAGCCTTCAAAGAGATAGCAGAGTATGAGTCCTGGCCATGAATGCACTTTACAACCATGTTGCATATTGTAACCAAATAAGTAGAACTCATGGGAAAAGAGAAGGAATATGGAAAGTAAGCGTGTGAGGAGGCCTTGATTAACCGAACAATATTCGGAGCCCATATCTTCAACTTCTGAAAGTCAAATGGCTTCTCGAACACAGACAAGTTTTTGTTCCTTGACTGTGGTCGTGTATCTTTGTAGTTCTGTAACATGTTGTTCCTCAGATTATGTGAAGAAGAAGGCAACGCTGGCAAGTGAGTTCGAATGTGGTTAGCTAGTTGATGTGACAAGATTGTCTTCTGTATCTTTTTGCTGTATATCTCTTGCTACCATTTAGGGTAGAACTACGACGTGCTTAACCGCAAAGTTGGTTTTGAAATGTCTCTTCTACTTCTATCTCTACACCTTTCCATTTTTTCAGGTTAGGACGAACAGAAGTGGTTGGGGACATTATCAGTCGTGGTACCGAGTTAGCGCTCCAATTTATGAAGGAATCAAAAACTGTCAAGGTACAACCTGAGAAAGAGGAAGAAGTATGTACCAATGAGCCATTTGCATACTTTCATAGTTGTGAGAATTTTCAGCAGTTGATGAGTGGTGAATTCAGGTAGCACGACAGCTTTCTCTTTCGACTGTGATATTCAACGATCTTAAACGAGCAAAGTCTGCTGAATACGAGTTTTCGTTTAAAAACGCGTTCGATCTCAACCACAACAATGCGTTGCTGCTGCAGGTGAGGTTACTGTGTGCAGTATGATTACATTACTTACTGCAAGAATTATATATAAATAATAACGTTTTTAGGTGAAACATAGCCGTTTGTGTTCTATAGAGGAGAACAATGCTGAACTTTTGCCTCTACTAGACAGCTGCGAATCAATTCCTGAGGAGACACCAGAAGCTGCAAAACTTGCTACCCAACTTGAAAGATTGCCAAATGTAGGGAATCATGTTGCGGACGTCCTCGATTTTTTTCAATTTAATGAATGATTTCAGGTGATCATTGACAGCGCGCGGAACCTTGAACCTTGCCAGCTGGTCGTGTATCTTGTTGAGTTGTCCCATCTGATCGGCAGCGTGGTAGCTCACGCTAAAATCAAAGGACAGCCAGTAGATGTGGGTCTATTTTATAATTAGCCAGTTGGATGCCCCAGCTCATGCTGGTCACCTCCTTTTTGTATTCTCTGTGAAAGACCAAAGACATACACACATGAAGGCACATACGTGCCTACAGACGAGACCATTTGCACCATGATTTATTTTCAACTATAGCCTTTTTTATATACACAATGCGACCTTTCGAGACCGATCTATTCCACCCCGAACTGATGCCCTTTGCCAAATTCCTTGGTCCTTTTTTAACTTTGGCTGGCTGCAGCTCTTTGCTACACGCTTGGTAATCGGGTAATCGTAGAAGTTACGGATAATTATCACGAATATTTCTTAGTTAGCTCTCGGTCTACTTCTGTAAGCCTTCCAGCTAAACTGCTCTCAACTATAACTTCTCCTCATTAGGTGATTCCTGTCTTCCTTTCTCGGTCTCAGTAACGTGTCGATGTTTAATTTGGAGCCCACCCATCTTTCCATCAGAGCACTCCCTGTCTACTACAAAAATTCGCCTTCGTCTTTTTTTAAACCTCTCTTTACTTTGCTCTCGGGCTTTACGGCGGCGGTTCAAAGCAAGGCCGTAATTTTTGGTCCTGGCTTTGCTTACTTTGTTACCTGCCATCTTCAGCGTAAGTTCCCATCTTTGAATTCGACATACATACAACAACATACATGGAATCCACCGACCTGCCGCAAAAATTTTACGGTTTGCCTAGGCCGGTCTGCCCACTTTCATGCTTTTGGCTAAATAGATGCGTACATAGTGCGCTTCGTTTCTCTTACATGCCGCGTTTATCGTGAACAAGGTCTGACTTGAATCATGCGTTCCAACTTCACCGTCCGTTGCCCACATAGGCTTAACACGTTGACGACGAGCCAATTTTTTCGTGTCTGTCCCGTGAGACGAGACAGTTTCTTT